CATTCATTATTTTGTTATTTAACTTTCATTTATAGAAATTATTCGTCATTTAACTTTCATTATCTAATCTTCATTAAATTATTAGTAATTGTATATTTTGTGATATTGATAATATTTTTATATAAACAACTAAAATTAATTACGGAGTTATTATTTATTTATAGTATTGTGATATAAATATAAATTATCATAATCACTATAAATCATTGGTCTTTAGCGCCCTCTACGTTTAACAGCAGTGAATTAGAGGAACTAACGAATGCCAACGTGATTTTCAGGCCCGTTACAGTGTTGTCAAACTTTCAGTGCCGAACTGTGAAGCTAGTAACTAACGGAAGTCGTTCTGCCATTTGTCAGAAAGAAGCTCTATCCGTGTTCAACAAATTTATTACAACTTCTCATCAGTATACAGGGTGTTCAAAAAAGGTTGGGACCAAACTTAGACTACTGAGGTCAGATAGATGAAAAAAGTTTATATAAACTTATGTCCGAAAATGCTTTATTGAAAAGATATAAGCTTTTAACTAACGTCTAACTTTCAAATATTCCATCATGTTGAAACCACGTTTGACAGCGTGTTTCCAACGAGACATCACGCGACATATCGCGAAGATTATTTTGCAATAATAATCTCACTTGAGAATTTGTAATACGTATACGATTCTGTACAGCGAATTGTAAAGACGAATTTTGTTCATAAATCTTTGAACGCTTATGTCTTATACGAACTTTTTTCATCTAATTAAATCTCACGTGACTTAACACGTAGTCTAAGTTTGGTCTCAATATTTTTGGACACCCTATATAAATTTATATGTGTATATATATATATTATTTATATTTTATTCTTGCCCTTATTAAAACAAAAAATAAATTTTTATATATTTTATATAATATTATATATATAAATTTATATGTATATATTATTTATATTTTATTTTTACCCTTATTAAAAAAAGTAAATTTATAAATAAATAAATAAATATATAAAAATAAATTTTTATATATTTTATATTTTATATTATTAATAATTTTATATATATATAAAATTATATTAATATTATATATATAATAATATATATATATATAGTGATTTATAGTGATTTAAAATTTTTCAAATTATTAATGGTACAAATAAATGTACAACTCTATATTTTATTAAACGTTCTAAAGGATAATTCCTAACTACGTAAATTTTCAACTATTTTATGTTATTTATGTCAATGTTCAAATATTGAAATCATTATATTTCTTCGTATACCTCGTCTTAAAAGAATTTAAGAAGACGGGCGACGTGAACATCGCAGCGTCGAAACGTCGCATTTGGATCAAGACGTTGCTCGGACGAGAACGTGTTATCCCATCCGAGCTTTCTTTATCCGTTCTATAAAACGCGCGGGCTCGCAAACGTTCCTCTGTTGCGTAACTCTTATCTGCACGGTTGAATTGCAAATAAGCTGTCGCGTACGAGGTGGAACGTTCGTTCGTTCGTTCGAATTTACCCGAGCAACTCGACATTAGCATACATACGTAAGTTGTTGCTGAGAAATGGACATCGTAAGATGATATTGCCTTCGTCAATAGGAACGTACAGTTGCGTTCAAATTTGCCATCAGATCAGTTTTATCGAAGCAATTTTTTACAAGAGCAATTCTCTTGTAAAAAAGAAAGCATCGAGGACTTCATTACTACAAATATACAGGATAGGCCAGAAATCACTTCTCAGACTAAAATCCATAATTTTCTTATTATATATTTAAAAAAATTTTTTTTTTGTTTTTTAACAGATTAAAGTACACAGTAAACAATCGAACATTTATCACGAATAAATCGTTCAATTTGAAATTAATGAAATTGGTCTTTTTAAATGTTTTGATGCTTTGTTAAAACAAAATAGGTGGGAGGAAACTTTCGGTCCACCCTGTATTATTAATAAAAATTAAGTGCTATAAAAAAATCAACACTGTTTGTTCTTTATACGCGTCTGTTTAAGAATTAAAGTAAACCAACGTTTTCGAAAATTCTCGACCAGTGTGTTTTGCTTATTTTTGATTAAAATTTACTGTTTTGAGGAAACATCAGAATATGAAAAAAAACCAATTTTTATTATTTTCTAATTAAATTTAAGTTCAAACATGATTTTCTTCAAGTTTTAAAGATTATTTGTTTCAAATTTCAAAAGAGTATATATATGTAATAAAAAAATTACGAATTTACTTTAGTAGAAATATGTCGTTTGACCTACCCTAGGTAACCATTTTAACGTACACTATTTAACGTGATGTACCTGTAGATGGAGACAAATTTCTGTCGGAATGAGAGAAAGAGACAGAGAGAAAAAAAAAGACACGAGAATTTCCTAGATTTTTTTTAGAAAAAAAGTTTTATCCTTCGCGTGCCCATACCCGCCTCTACAAAAGATATTAAAAATCGGTGCCGGTCGTTGGGGCTAATCTCGCAAATCGCTCAGTCAAAGCCGGATACCGCGGCTGAGATTTTGTTGATTGTGTCCGCGCGAAGAAGAAGAAGAACAAGGATAGAGAGACCATCGTTCGCGGTTCGCTCGACGGAAGGGTGATCAATTTGCGGCTGATCCGATAATCGATAGCTCGACGACGGGCAATCCGATTTCACTTAACGTCCGGTTGTCCGTCGCAAACGCTGATTCGACGACTTTATAAACGCCACGCCGCATCGAATTAACCGTCTCTTTCCCTCTTCTGCCCCACTTTCTTCCTCACAGTGACGTCCACAGACACGTCCCTTTTTTCTTTGCACGCTTTTCAATCACTCGTTTCTGCAAATTGTTGTTTCAACCATCGAAACGCGCACGAACGCGCTCTGGCGTCGGACTATCGAATCATCGCCTCCTTTGTCATCGTTCGATTCTTTTTAACCACTTTCGCTCGAATGACATATCACGCGCGTCGAGAACTTTTTGTCCCAAAATTGTAACATTTTCTCAGTTTTAGGTATATTTAAATACAACCTAGGAAAAACAAGTGATAAATTTATTACTTTTTAATAATTTCTACCTATCTACAGTGATATCATACCGACGAGCTCAAAAAAAAAGCGACGATTTATTGTGTACGGTTTGGTCACTCGTTATGGTCCGCAATCAGTTGCCAGGAATGACGTACCACGCACGTCGAGAACTTTTTGTCCCAAAATTGTAACATTTTCTCAGTTTTAAGTGTATTTAAATGTAACCTAGGAAAAACAAGTAATAATTTTATTACTTAATAATTTCTGTCTATCTACAGTAATATCGACGAGTTCAAAAAGAAAGTGACGATTTATTGCATACGGTTTGGTCACTCGTTATGGTCCGCAGTCAGTTGCCAGTACCAGTGGTTAATCTTTTGCGCTGAAATGACGTGCCATGCAAGTCGAGAATTTTTTGCTCCAAAATTGCAATATTTTCTCAGTTTTAAGTATATTTAAGTATAACTCAGGCAAAACAAGTAATAAATTTATTACTTCTTAATAATTTCTATCTATCTACAGTGCTATCATACCGACGAGTTCAAAAATAAAGTGACGATTTATTGTATACGGTTTGGTCACTCGTTATGGTCCGCAATCAGTGGTTAACCTCTTGCGCTGGAATGACGTGTCACGCATGTCGAGAATTTTTTGCCCCAAAATTGCAATAATTTCTCAGTTTAAGTATATTTAAATATTTACTTTTGTAAACTTTTTCAGCCACTTTTTTTATCGCATTGTACGGGGGCAGTGGCGCAATTTTTAGCCCGCGTTATAGGAACCGTGTTCTACTGTATATATTTCGTTTACGTATTCAGGGCACATTACATTTGACGTCGTTCTGCTTCGAATTGAACGCACGCGGGTTGCTCTATCGATTTCGTGTACATTTTCTCCAATTAAAAAGAAAAAAAGAAAAATGGAAAAAACTAGCTTGGAAACTCGAGAGGAAAGCTCACGTTATCCACGCGTGCTTTTCAAACGATTCCTTCGTGTCGTGTCCGCACGTGCGAAATTCTTTTTCCAGCGCAGCGGTGATAAAATCGCGTTAGCCTCCTAGGAGCATTATTATCCATTAACGGGCAGCGGTTTTTCTCCGATCGCTACGCCAGCAACGACGTCAGAGCGACGAAATTTTCTTCTCTTTTTTTCTCTTTTTCGACTGTCGGTGCGCGACTTTTACGGTCAATGAAGTTTCGTTTGCTCGTGCCAATGTAACATTTCCGATGATACATCTATTTTCCATCTGTAGCTTCTCTCTAAAAAATTCAAGTCGAAAAATTATGAAAATCCGAAAACATGAAACAAAAAAGAAAAGAGAAAGAAAAACATTAATTAATTCGTAACCATTTGCGAGCTAAAGTAAAAGTAAATATCATTTATTAGTATTTAGTGTTACCGTATAATATTATGTAATTTTTTATAATAATATATTATTATTTAATATTATTTATCATTATTTAGTATTATCGTAACAAAAACAATAATATTAAAAATAAAATATTTTATGTCAAATTAATTTTGACAGTTGAAAAATTGTGTGTTAAAAATTTATCGCTTCTGTTCTGTAATCAATCTTAAACTCTTCACTAAACTTTTCTTGGTAATTGTAATAACTCCTGCGTTATTATAAAAATTGTAAGACATACTTATTCAAAATTAAATTCATTGCTTTTTTCTGTAATGCATCTTAAACTCTTCATTAAAATTTTCTTGTTGACTGTAGTAATTTCTGCATCATTATAAAAATTGTAGGACATACTTATTCAAAATTAAATTCATTGCTTCTTTCTGTAATGCATCTTAAACTCTTCATTAAATTTTTCTTGGTAATTGTAGTAATTTCTGCATCATCATAAAAACTGTAGGACATACTTATTCAAAATTATTCGAAATTATTAATAATCATAATAGTATGGAGTGTATACACTATAAATAACCAAAAGTCGGCAGGAAACGCGTGCTAAAAAGAGTATTCCAAGAGCTGACTGTTCAAAGCTTGCCTGTTTCAGCTGGTGGACGACGATGGAAGCATCGAGACTGCTCTCATCAATTACCTGTTCACGAAGCAAATCGTGAAACGGCTACGGAACCAGTTGGACATCGGGGACCTGCAGCGGAAACGCAGCTACTGGAAACAGTGCGCCTTCAACGCCGTCTCCTGCTTCGGCAAATAAAAATTCAGCCAGCCAGCCCGACGACCGCTCTCTTCTTCCGCTTACTTCTTTCTTTTCACCTATCTATCTTTCTTTTTTTCTCGCGTGTGTCCGTGTTAATCTCTTCCATGTCCAGTGTTTAGCTTCTAAATAGCTTCTCGAGTCGTAGCTCGAGCAAAAACACCGTGGCTCCGTCTGCGAAACGGTTTGCACCCGCCGATGAGTGTTTTCGAAAAAAAAAAAAAAAAGAATCGTTGGCGACCACGTCGAAATTCCGATCTTGAACTGAAGAAGCGAACCGTTCGTCTCTTCCAGCAGGCTGGAAACGTACGGATCATCGAGTCGTTCGAATTTCACTTGGAAGAATGCGGCGGATGCAAGTCGCCACGGAGAACCACAAGCAAAACACGCTGCATTCGATACTGACACATTCGCGACGGGCGAAAACGTTTATAATTTCCAAGTCTGTAGCTGAGTACGGCAAGCAGCTCTGCTATCTGTGAGGTATGCGATATATAAGAAATATTACATCTCAGTATGACACTTGTAGTCGTTTAAAAAATTAAACATTACAAATACGTGTAGAAAAGATATTTTCTTTCAATAAAATGAATATGACGTATTTACAGGTGCACGATACTTATCTTAACCTCTTGCGCTGGAATGACGCACGTCGAGAATCTTTTGTCTCAAAATTGCAACATTTTCTCAGTTTTAAGTATATTTAAGTATAACCCAGACAAAACAAAGAATAAATTCATTACTTCTCAATAATTTCTAACACTGGGTGATATCATACCGACGCGTTCACAAAGAAAGCGACGATTTATTGTGTACGGCTTGGTCACTCGTTATGGTCCGCAATCAGTTGCCAGCGCAAGTGATTAACCTCTTGCGCTGGAATGACGTGCCACGCACGTTGAGAATTTTTTTGTCTCAAAATTGGAACATTTTCTCAGTTTTAAATATATTTAAGTATGACCCAGGCAAAATAAATGATGAATTTATTACTTCTCAATAATTATTGGGTGATATCATATTGTCGCGTTCACAAAGAAAGCGACGAATTATTGTGTACGGTTTGGACACTCGTTATGGTCCGCAATCAGTTGCCAGCGCAAGTGGTTAACTTACACTGACATTTTTACATATTTGTTTTACATAATAATTTGTGTGGTATTTATTAACAACTTGAAATACAAAGTTTATTAATATTTATTATAAATGCTAATACAATATTGTAGTATTTATTATAAATTATTGATTAATATTTATTATATATATAAGTATATAATATTTAAAAGTACATTGATATTTATTATAAATGGAAACATAACGATAATTTAACAAGCTTAACAACATCGTTTAATATTTAGTAATATTGTATTGTGTCATCTGGTATGATATATAAACATAATGGCTAGGAGAGGCCAATTTTGAAACACGTTGCCCGTCGCGAAAGTGTTGGAAAAAAAGAAAAAGAAAAAAAAAAAGAAGTAGATTAGCGACGTATCGAAATTACGTATCGCGTTCTGATCGCCAAATAGCGACCTGGCCATCTGGGCCAGGAGTTTCTCTTCATCATAAAATTGCTCGTTGTTCGATTGTGCAGCGGCACGTAATGTTATCCTTCATGCTCGCGAACCTGGTGGATGTAACTGAAAGAGAGTTTAATAAAGAATTGATCTCATCGTTGTATGCAATCGGTCTAAAATGCATCGAGCTAAACAAAACAAAGAATAATAATAATAATAATGAAACGTAAATATAACACGTTCGATTCCATTGATTCCTTTATTCCACGTACGACTGTCGCTATAATTTTATTATCGTGAGAAAGTGTACAATTTTCGAAAATTCATTTTCGCGTGGTGCGTTCCACGGCGTGCCAAAACCTAACCTAAATCAGCTGCCACGGATGGCACACTACACGTAGCAAATGAACGTCGTGAAACCTGCGAAACGCAAAGGAAATAATGTCAGAGGTATAGGTCGATATCTATAGGATTATCCGCCCGGTGACATTTTCCACTCGGAGAGCGAAAACACGATTCCCTTCGACAGTTTCCTCGACGAAGAACTACCTTCTCGCTCAACTCGACGACAATTTTCACCGACAATTACGCGATCGTAAGAATCGAAGGAAGTTTCCTCCTTGCTTTGCCATCGAGATTCTTAGATTTTCGTTGTAAACGATCGTTAAACAAGCGTGTGAACGCGCGAAAGATCCGGAGACCGTGTTTTTTCAGTGTTATTTTTCAAGATTTAACCTCTTGCGCTGGAATGACGTGCCACGCACGTCGAGAATATTCTCTCAGTTTTAAGCAGATTTAAATACAACCCAGGCAAAACAAGTGATAAATTTATTACTTCTTAACAATTTCTATCTATCTATAGTGATATCATACCGACAAGTTCAAAAGGAAAGCGAAGAATTATTGTGTACGGTTTGGTCACTCGTTATGGTCCGCAAAAACCAGTTGCTAGCGCAAGTGGTTAACCTCGAGCGCACATTGAGAATTTTTTGTCCTAAAATTGCAATATTTTCTCAGTTTTAAGTATATTTAAGCCAGGCAAAACAAGTGATAAATTTATTATTTCTTAATAATTTCTATCCATCTACAGTGATATCGACGAGTTCAAAAAGAAAGCGACAATTTATTATATACGGTTCGGTCACTCGTTATGGTCCGCAATCAGTTGCCAGCCGCAAGTGGTGAACCTTTAATGCACGTCGAGAAATTTTTGCTCTAAAATTGCTCTAAAATATTTTCTCAGTTTTAAATATGTTTAAATATAACCAAAGCAAAACAAGTGATAAATTTATTACTTCTTAATAACTTCTATCTATCTATAGTGATATTATAACCGACAAGTTCAAAAGGAAAGCAACGAGTTATTATTGTATACGGTTCGGCCACTCGTTATGGTCCGCAATCAGTTGCCAGCGCAAGTCGTTAAGATCGTAACGCGAGTTGAACAATTGAATAGTCGAAACAACCGTTTCTCGACGTGGATAAAACAATAATTCAAACCCATTTTTAATTTTACGTTTTTTACAATTAATAATCAAAAGAATTAGGTTCAGCTTGATTTTCAGAGTTTCCAATTCGCCACGTTGCGCTTACTCGTCCGCGTGATTATCTGAAATGAATAATACTCTAGAGTATGTAATATAATGCAGAATAATATTATGAATAATATTTCAGAGTTTTACAGAGTTCTAGCTTCATAGAAAACAAATTTCATGAAAATTGCGAACTGGAAAAATTGAGTTTTGGCCGTGGAAACGCGGTTCTCAAACGAGCGTCGAAAAAAATTGTTTTTGGAACATCGACGACGACGACGAAGCAAGAAAACTTCGTGTCTCACTCACGGAAGGAACAAAAACGTGGCCGTCATTGATGCAGACATGGGCAAGAGCAGTAATCGGCGACCAGTTGTACGGCGTGTTGCTCCGCCGGCTGAGCTTGCGAGGTGGAGGCGGTCGCCTCGAGCCAGGAGACGCTCACGTGCCGCGCTGTCCTCGCCACGTCCTCGAACTCCTGAAAAATCAAGGAGGAAGGATCACGAGAAGGCGACAGCGTCGGATTAGCGTTGGCGTTTGCGCCGCGGATGAAGAGAAATCATATTCGATAGGCGACGGGAGATTACTATAGCACCTGCGTGGCACACGTATCTAGAAGGAGGATGCGAGCAGCAATTGGCGCCTACGGTTAACGGAACTGACAACTTCCACAAGCCGGAAGCCGCTTAATGCCGACGCTGGCGCGCGCTGGAACGACGTCGTCTATTAACCAGCTTTAATTCACGTTATCGAGTTCCTCCGATCGATTTAAAACGCGCCAGACCCCTTTCTGCCTTCCTGCCCTCTGGGTTTCCTACCGTCGTTTCGCCAAGGAACCGTAACGACGATACCACGAATCGAAACTATGCTATTGCAAACCTTTTGGCCGTCATACTTACGCGAACAACGGACGATGGTATCACCGCGCAAGAGTGGACCACGTACGCGCTTGCAGATCGCTCTCGATCGTTCAACACCTTGGCTCCGAGACTGGTAAACGATTTTGCGATAGTTAAGGTAATAAATGGAAAGTTTCTCTCTTCAACCTCTTCGGGGGCGAATTTCTCAAAAGTGTCAAAAAAAAGTTATTTAACTTGTTGCTCTGATTAGGTTTCATTCGCAGCAATTCAGTGAGCCAGAAGAAAAAAATGAATAAAACAAGAAATATACACATAACAATATACACAAATAAATATACACATGTGTGATCGTTGAACGTTAATGGCAAATAATGAAAAGATTCCTGACATTAACTACTACTATACACATGTGTGTTTATAGTGTTTTATAATCTCGTATAAAAAATGAACTAACGCTACAAATTGCGTTTTGAAATTAATACAATCATTGAAACTGACTATACTTGACACGCCTGGTATTTTATCTATCAACGATATTCTTCAAGTAATTAAAACTTGACCCATCAAAGGCAACGCTTCAATCATTAAAAAGCAGTGTTTATCAATCAATTAGAATAAAATATTATCAGTGCTGTCATACGACGAATTTTCAATTTAGCGAGCAGTTCTCCTAAACAGATTTTAATTTTTTTTCAGTTAGAATAATTTTAATTAAAAAAAAAAAAAAAAGGCGTACACACATGTCAGCCTTGAGGAGGTTAACAGCGAGAGTACGTCAGCTTTAAATCCACCCTGGAGCAGCTGCGGAGTCGCGGCGAGGCCACGAAAGAAAAACCCCCCCAGTGTTCCATTTTCCAGGAACTGGCGAGCTGGCTTCTCAAGCTCCCCAGAGTGTGTGACGTACGTACTACCGTGAAGGGACACGCTTTCTGCGGAATGTAACTCGTTTCACGTGGCAAACATTCCCGTGTTTGCCCCAAAGTAATTAAGAATCGTCCCTCAAGTCCAAGTCGTCCGGACTGAGTGGTAGTCCAACCTCGAGTCCAAATTCAAATTCAAACTCGTACTGGAACTTCAATCTGTCAAAGAGAAATTCAATTGTCGCGTAAGAGGATACGTCTTGAGTAGCCTGTGAATCTCCTTTCCCCTGTCGTTTTCGAATCCCGGCGCCAGGCTAACCGTCGCGCCCTTTAAAACGCTCTCAGACCTCTGCAAACAAGAAGATTCTTTTACACCGTTGTTTCAATCATTGTTGAAAGAGGTTTGCCGTCGGTTTTATCGGCGAATGAAATACCAGCTCGTTAATCGTCAGATTAGACAACGGTTTTGCATCCGGCGGTAGACCGTCCATTGGTTTTCGTTCTTCGATCCAGTTCAGTGGAATTCCCGCACCGGTGTACTCTATATACTGCACAGAGCGTAAATACAATTAGTGAAAATAGTTAATAAATAATAAATACTAGTAAATGAAGCATAATTATATATATATATTAAATAAAGCGCTATTATTTAACAATAATAGTAAATAAAGCAAAATTACTATATATACATATATATATATATATATATATATATATATATATATATATTAAATAAAGCACTATTGCTTAATAATAATATTAGTAAACAAAGCAAAATTATATATATATATATATTAAATAAAGCACTATCATTTAATAATAATATTAGTAAACAAAGCAAAATTAAAGATGTTTGATTACACACATCTCCATTTACGAAAGCATAAAATTCCGCCCTTTCCGCGCGCTCTCTGCCAGACAAACTGATCTCTTCGTTATTCCTTCCGGTAGAGTCGGATTTCGCACTGTCTTTCAACTTTCCAAACAATTTCCTCGGAGAAGAATTCTTCTTGATCGACTTGGTACCGTCGTTTCTCTTCGACGGAGACTTCGATTTTCTTTCGAGCCTCGGCGAGTCGTCCTCGTCGTCATCCTCTCGAGAAAACTCGGAGCTCGGTGGCAAGAGAAGTCCGAGATCTATCGACTCGGAACTCCGCTTGAAAAGGCGTCGCAGGTTGTTCAAGCTGGTGGCAGTGGACCAATCCTTGTCGTGACGGATGCGCGTTACCCGCGGGAACCTGATGCTGATACCATCAGCCGTGTGAACACCTTGATTGGTAAACTCGGCGCCTGTTATCTCCCACACTGGCTGCTTCTGAAATTCACGAAATAAAGACAGATGGCTGTACTGTAGATAGTACATACACTTGCTCTAAATTGAGACTCAAACAAAGTACCTTCGGATCCCTTGCAACGAAGTCGGGGATCATTGGTTTGTTGGCGCGCAACCAGGAGGGTACTTTGCTCGGATCTTTACCAATCTTTACCATGTCGAGCTGGTCCTGAAGCATCGCTAAAGTCGCGTCATCGTGACCAGTGTGTACCTACAGTCAATTTTTTTTTCAACGTGATCGCATATTATATTCCATATGTTATCCACATGTGGTAGAGAAGGTGGTCAAAATATTAAAGATCACACATCCATCTGTTGGTCTTTCAATGTTTCCAATGTCACCCATAATTCCCAAATAAAAGTGGAGGCCCATGTTTAGAAAACGTTTATAAAAATAAAGATTCATATCTTTCCTTTAAATGTTAAAATTTGCAGTGAAGATTATTTTGTTTATAATTCCATGATGTAAAATATATAATAAAGATACACATCCAAAGTTTGGAGTGTTACTCTTTCAGAGTTTCCAATAGGGTCGCCGATAATACTGAAATAAAAGTGGGGGGCCCATATTTAGACCACCTTCTCTATGAGAATATCCTTACTTTGGTCACCGTTACCCAATTGTCGTGATCTTCGTCGTAGCAACCCATCAGGAATATAGACATGATACCGCCTAAACATGTGAAATGCATGGGAAAAAAAAATAAATTCAAAATAAATTTTAAATCAATCGTGAATGACTTTTACACCTAATTCTCGATAGATTTCTCTCAAGAATTAATAATATTGTAAATTATTGTTACGTTAGTTTTAATTCAACGAACTGACAACATCGGGGGGAAAAAATGGGAAAAAGCAATCGGATATATATCGGATGTTAAATTTTTCTTCTAGAAGACACATCCATCGCGGAATAAACAAATGGTACACAGAGAACAGACCTTTGTTTCCCGTGCCGTACCATGCGCCAAGCACAACGAGATCTGCACTATCGGCCATTGCACCGTCGCACAAATAATCCTTCTTTACCTTCAGCCAATGTCGTTTACCCGGCTCGTATTTGCTCTATAAATAATCAAGCGTTGGTACATCGATTATTGGTAGATTATTCATTCGACGATAAAAATAATAAACTTTGTTTTTGCTATTATCCTAGAAAAAGTCGCTGTTTCGATTCAGTTAAAATCAGGGATTCGAACCACACGATACGTACGCGGATGTCTTTGAGGACCAAGCCCTCGAGGCCCATTTTGAGAACCCTGGCAATCATCTCGGCCAAATCTTGGGATTTCTGAAACCCAATTAATTCATCGTCGCTTTGAAATTTCGTACTTGCTTCAATTCTCGTCGTACGATCAAATCAATGTAATCATTTTTACGTGAACTTCCTTGACTTCCGAGAGCATTATCCTGTTTGGTATCTCCGTCATCCTCTCCGACAAAATTCGTCGCCGTTCCATCATAGATCTGCACACACGATCGATCATTGAGACTATGAACCGAGGATAAACGACGAGATTCGTCGACTTACCTGTGCAGTAAAACGTCTCCGTTGTAGTAGATGCAATCGAAAACAAACAAGCAGGCATTGGCGTCCTTAAATTTAGCTTTCTGAAGCAAAAAAAAAAAAAAAAAAAAAAAAAAAAAAAAAAATCAGAAATCAAAGATTGGAAAATTTTCTCAACGTTAGGTTTTTCTACATTCTTCCAATCAAGTCTGATCATATTACTCTAAATTACATCAGTATCTAATTCATACTAGAAATTAAAGATTAGAAAATTTTTCTGAATTAAACTTTAGAAAAAAAAAAAAAAAAAAAGAAAAAAAGAATAGTTGTACTCTTAGCAAAACATGGGGAGTCGCGCTGTATTTAACGAACAGTCGAACCTTGTGAACGCCCAAGGTACCAAAGGGCAACGGCTGTCCAGTCGTGGTGTCGATCATGAGGATTTCCGAGTCCAGAATCAAATCGTCGCCGTCCGGGAACGCTTCTGGGATGTAATTCTTGAACAGGTTCACCTGGAACGAAAGAGCGTGTGCAACACTCTTCGCGAAGCGTAAACAAACCACACGGAGAAACTGTTTACTTTGTGAGGAAGCACCGGTTTCAACGATCGGCTGTAATATCGAAACACGTTGCCCATCTTGTGCACCTGAACTCGCTCCCCGTCGTACTTCACCTCGGCCAGCATTCCGTTCGGGCACTTCTTCATCGCCATCTCCACGGACTTGCAAGCCTCCGCCTGTCCGCATATACATATACGTCATCCTCGTTATTCTCGTTGGACATTTCACTATAGACACATACATATATGATGGTTCTTAACCTCTTGCCATGCACGTCGAGAATTTTTTTGTCCCAAATTGCACCATTTTCTCAATTTTTTTTTAAATAACTGGCAACATTTTCTCAGCTTTTTTAAGTAACCCAGGCAAAACGAATAACAGGTTTGTTACCTGTTAATAATTTCGATCCAGTGATATCATATCGACGAGTTCAAAATGAAAGGAAAACGACGAATTATTGTGTACGGTTTCGGTCACTCGTTATGGTCCGCAATCAGTTGCCAGCGCAAGGAGTTAAACTTTGTGATTACGAGCGGCTTCTTACCAACATCGGTAAAACAGGCGTCATCAGCGAAAGCTTGATCTTGACGTCGGAGGATGGACCCAGCGACGAGGACGATGACGAGGACGGTTCGTCGGATTTCCAGGATCCGCGCAAGCATCGCTCAACGACGCTGTCCAAGTCCCTGGATGTTTGAAACGCCTCGTACGCGTCCTGGTGCACCGCGGCTAAACTGAAAACGTATCGAAATATCGTCGACGGTCGCCTAACTGGCTAGCTCATGGCAATTGTATACAGTAAGGCTCCCTATAACGCGTTATACAAATCCAAGAGCGCGAAAAATTATGACAAAACAAATAGTCTTTTTTTTAATATGACAAAAAAGTATTTTGTGCCTTCTGTCTTATTAGATAAGTATTCAAAGGAATGTTCTTCCTATTGCAATCTTTTGTCCATATAATTGAACAATTTTCTGTTACTAAAAGATCTTTTGTAATGGGAGGATTTCTTTAAACCTGATGATGCCCCAACAGAAGCTCTTATTTTACTATCATTTTTCCTAATTGTGCGAATCGTTGATTCATGTCTGTCAAATTTCTTGCAAAGAGATGTTAACTTATCACCTGATTTCAACCGATCGAGAATACCTAATTTTTCTTCTAAGGATATAAATCTTCTACTCGGCCTATCTTTCTTGTAGATCTTTGGAGTCACGGCTGGAGAATATTATTTTTTATTTCTGACGTTAAATATAGTGAAAAAAAAATTGCCTTGCTTGTTAATCGATCAATATCTACTTTGTAATTGAAATGAATTCGTTCCTGAAATAACACGACTAATTCTGCACAGAAATAACTGTTTCACAATACACACTTTAAACAATCCCTCTTTATCGCACAAGAATTGATGCAAAACTGTGAGGCGAGTCAATTCAAAGACGCACATATTTTCACAACAGAAATGAGTCTTTTTCGGCAACAGTCTTTTTAATTGTGTTTAATGGGGGTTAGGTACAGGGTCCTACTATATCTACATGCGACGACGGACTCACATGTGCTTTGGGCCAGCGTTTATCCTCAGATCGTGCTTGATCAGCCGGACGATCATCCTCAGGTCGCTGGCGGTGCATCTGAAAAAGCAAGCATTCGCCACGTTTGTCTCGCTTCTTGTGTTAACGAATGAATCCAACCAGCGACGAAATTTATCTAAATGTGTGTTGTTTACCTAGAAACGATCGACCGAAAGTGGTGGACCTGCTCGTCCTCTTTGGTCAAACACGACAACCTCTCCAGAAACTCGTCCACCTGGATAAAAAAAAAAAAAAGTGGAGAAAGAAGAAACTCTTCGATTCGACTTCGGTCCCGCCCGATCGATAACATCGATTTATTCTAAGAAGCAAGAAATCCTACGCGTCTCGAGAGGTAAAATCTGAAAACTCGAAAATCATACCGACTGGGAATTTGGTTTTGTAATCCTAAGCAGGGACGCTGAAGGAATTCTCCTTTCCCCTAGACTTTTCGAACTTCTATACGAATTTAATAATTCGTCCAGAGATTATTACTTCTGGATAATTAATTTTGATATTAATTAAAAACAGGATTTAATAATAAATTAATTGAATTATTTTAACAATAATTGATAATTATTTTATTGAATTATTTTAACAATAATTAATAATTATTTTAATGCAATTTCATTTAAATTTTAAATTATTACATATTATATTTAAATAATCATATAATAATAATTAAATGTTTTTAAATTTTAAATTTTAAATAATTGAATCATATTAATTTAATTTTATTTAAATTAATTGAAATATTAATTCGTGTAGCAAATTGCCTGTCAATTTTTAATGGAAATAGGCCGTAAACATGGTAAAAGTACTGGAAAGCGTTTTCAGACAAAATTTTTTTATCTAAAATAAAAGTTTATTCATTGTCTCAAATTTATTTCTCGGCTAACGTCGTGCGAATTCCGTCTCGTTTTGTTCCAATGACCAGGCAAAGGAAAGAATAAATTGAACGGAAGAAGAATTAAGCAAACAAACGACCGTGCATGTTTAATTTTAAGCATCTTCTTAAGGACACGCTTCTTCGTTCTATCGTGGGAGACATAGAAAAAGAGGGAGGGAGGGAGGAAGAGAGAGAGAGAGAGAGAGAGAGAGAGAGAGAAGAGCCATTTGTTTCGCGCGCGACCGCAAAACAAGGATGGCGCCCTTATCCTCCCGAGAATTTGTCACCGATCTTTCATCCGGAGGCTTTTCGCGATTAATAGCGCCAGGTTTCACCGCTGAAACGCTAAAATCGCGTCGTCCTGGGCGAAAGACAATTCGCTGAACGTTCCGATCGTGTTACATTTTTGTTGCATTTCGAATTAATACAAAGTATCGCGTGCCAAAAAGAGACAAAAGTTGCGTTTTTATCGTAAATTCTTTAACCTGAATCCGAATCTTTAACGAGGATTTGCCGTGTTCGTGCATTTGCATGAAAAGGATGAAATTCTTGAACTTGAATCTGAATCTTCAATGAGGGTTTATCAAGTTCGCGACATGTGTATTTGTATGAAATGTAAATGTAATTGTATGAATTACATTACAATGTATTTGTATGAATTATGTTCTATCGAAATAAAAAATATATATAAATATATATCTTGATTTTTAGGTTAGGTTATACATATATATCTTAGGTTTAGGTTAGATTATTATATATATAATTATATTATTACATAAATACTACACACATTTGGTGTACTTACATAATAATATAATTATATATATAACAACCTAACCTAAACATAATAGAATATACATAATTTGATATGTAAGATATACACATATCGAAACGCCAATTATGTTATATCGAAATACAAAATACACATATATCTTGGTTTTCAGGTTAGATTATACATATCTTTGTACATTATACATTAGGTTATATATATGTTAGGTTTAAGTTAGATTATTGTACATATAATTATATTATTACATAAATACTATACACATTTGGTGTACTTATATAATAATATAATTATCTATATAATAACCTAACCTAAACATAACAGAATATACATAATTTGATATGTAAGATATACACATATCGAAACGCAAATTATGTTATATCGAAATATAAAATACACATATCTTGGATTTTAGGTTAGGTTATACATACCCTTATGCATTATACATTAGGTTTAGGGTAGGTTATACATATATATATGTAGGTTTAAATTAGATTATTGTACATATAATTATATTATTACATAAATATTACACACATTTAGTGTACTTATATAATAATATAATTGTACATATAATAACCTAACCTAAACGTAATAGAACATACATAATTTAACATGTAAGATACACATATATCGAAAAGCAAGGGCAAAGAGGTAAAAGAAAGAGCAATTAATGGAAAATGAAATCGAAATAACATACAATAATAAGAAAATGAAGAAAACGAGAAAGAGAAAGAAAAATTTCGAAATTCCCAAATGCGAAAATCAATACGATCACGAAATATCGATCGAAAGAGTATCAGAGATATCGTGAGAACTGTGAGAACAATCGGCTCATAATGTTAGATTATTATATATTATATTATATATATATTATTATATTGTATCATATATATTACTAGATTATTATATATTATTATATTATCATTATATAATTATAATATTATATTATATTATCATTATATAATTAGATTATTATAGATTATATATTATATATTAGATTATCATATATTATAAAAAACATTAACGAGATTTTACCTCCTGAATGGTGAGCAGGCTTCTCGGGGCTGGCTCGAGAGCGGAGCTCCTCTCGAAGAACGTCCGGATGGTTTCGGCGACGTCCCCCTTCTCCAGATGCTCCAGCATCTCGTTCTCGCTGTGCAACAGCAGACGAGAGAACAGCTTGACCAGCTGCTTGCTCTGCAGGTTGTACACCCTCTTCGCTGTCCCGGGTAGCAGCATCCTGCACCACAGCTTCACGTCACTCTTGAAACCATCTGAAAAAAAGAAAAAAAAACGCGAAACGATCGAGTTGAGCGAGAGAGAGGTGAAACATTCGGTAGTTGTGCACGAAAGGGGCATTTGTTCGTTTTGTTTCTTCATCGCGAGACGAGGAGAGAACACGAAATCGAGTACAATTGAAACCACGTCCGATAGAATATCCGCGATCAGCACCGACGCAGTTATCGGACGCAGTTATCGCCCCGTAACTTTCCACTGTGCCGCTGCATCCCGATGCGTGCCGTTCGACGATGGTTCCCTCTTCTCGTTCCCTTCTTCTCTGACTCCGCGAGGGAAAACGAGTCGAAACGCGACGCATATTTGGATACTTGGATGTTTGATTTCCGGAAAACCTAACCCTAACCTAAACCGAAGTTAATAATAACCGAATTAGGACGTTTGATTCTAAACCTAACCTAAACCGAGAGGGGGGAAAAATTATTTCGACGTGATTTGTGTCTGTATGATAATACATGTAATACGTATAATACAATAATATATAATTGTGTTATATAATACGTAAGTTTTAACGTCAGCTACGAGACGATTCAAATTATTATTTTGATAGGAAATATACAGACCTTGATTATTCGAATGACAAAATACACAGTTTACTCGTCGAGAAGGAACGAGTGGAAACGCGACGCATATTTGGATACTTGGATGTTTGACTTCCGGAAAACCTAACCCTAACCTAAACCGAAGTTAATAATAACCGAATTAGGACGTTTGATTCTAAACCTAACCTAAACCGAGAGGGGGGAAAAATTATTTCGACGTGATTTGTGTCTGTATGATAATACATGTAATACGTATAATACAATAATACATAATTGTGTTATATAATACGTAAGTCTTAACGTCAGCTACGAGACGATTCAAATTATTATTTTGATAGGAAATATACAGACCTTGATTATTCGAATGACAAAATACACAGTTTACTCGTCGAGAAGGAACGAGTCGAAACGCGACGCATATTTGGATACTTGGATGTTTGATTTCCGGAAAACCTAACCCTAACCTAAACCGAAGTTAATAATAACCGAATTAGGACGTTTGATTCTAAACCTAACCTAAACTGAGAGGGGGGAAAAATTATTTCGACGTGATTTGTGTCTGTATGATAATACATGTAATACGTATAATACAATAATACATAATTGTGTTATATAATACGTAAGTCTTAACGTCAGCCACGAGACGATTCAAATTATTATTTTGATAGGAAATATACAGACCTTGATTATTCGAATGACAAAATACACAGTTTACTCGTCGAGAAGGAACGAGTGGAAACGCGACGCATATTTGGATACTTGGATGTTTGACTTCCGGAAAACCTAACCCTAACCTAAACCGAAGTTAATAATAACCGAATTAGGACGTTTGATTCTAAACCTAACCTAAACCGAGAGGGGGGAAAAATTATTTCGACGTGATTTGTGTCTGTATGATAATACATGTAATACGTATAATACAATAATA